GTCTGTGTACGTGTTGGGCAGCACATGGACTGATATTTCTGTCTTAGATTTCATGTCTATAACTCAGAAAATCCAAGCTGAACTATTTATTGAAAACATATAATCACTCATTAGGAACTGCTGTTCCTAAAAATCATCTGAAGCAACTTGAGTTTGTTTCAGTGATACTACATTTTATTGGTTTAAAGCAAGTGTAAATGATGATTCTGTAAATGATGAAACTGCTCACTCATTGCTTTGCACTGCTTTTTGTGATCTGTGAAAGTTCTGGCTTTGACTTCTTGGACTTTCACCCAATACTGACATTTCAATATTCTTAACATATATTTCCCCTTTCCTCCCACCAGCAGCTGATAGGCACAATGTAATAGAAGAATGAGGTAGGAGGAAGGACAAGGAATGCTTATTTAGAAACTTTTGACAAAGTAAACCTCATCACTATGTTAACGGACCAGCCATATTACAGTGAATACCCTTCCTGAATCAGCTACCTGTGTTTCGGGAGCTTCCTAATGGGCTCTGTAGCTCATTGGTTTTTACTCTAGCCATGTCTTCTTCACAAAAACTCTTCATCTTTTTCTTAGTATCTTTCACCATGGGCTTATGTTGATGATGAGAGCAGTATCCCAGCTATTATGCCATCTAATGAATGCACAATCATAGTGAGAAGTGCACGACAAGCTGGTCATAAAAGGAACACCTTGGGGACTAAACTTAGGGAACTTATTGCAGGAAGAGAAACTGCCTTTTCTTCTTCTTCACCTGACATTAGGTCTTATCTCTACTTTTAGGTTTTCCATTGGTTGTGGCTTCCACTACCATACCATTCCCCGTTTTTCTGCACTGATGAAATTCTGCTGAGCCTTCTCTCCTCTAGGCTGGACACTTCCAGCTCTCAACCTTTCTTCATAGGAAAGATGCTCCAGTCCTTTAATCATACTAGTAGTCCTTTGCTGTATGTATGCCTATGTCCAATATGTCCATGCCTTTCCTATATTGGGGAGCCCATGAGTGGACCTAGCACTCCAAGTGAGGCCTCACCAGTGCCCAGCAGAATGGAAGAATCATCTCCCTCAACTTAACTGGCAACACTCTTCCTAATGCAGCCCAAGAGGCTGTTGGCCTTCTCTGTGGCAAGGGCATAATGCTGGCTCGTGTTCAAATTGGTGCCATCAGAACCCCCACGTTTTTTTCTGCCAAACTGCTATCCAGCCAGTAGGCCCCCAGCAAGCTGTGGTCCCCCTGTGTGGGACTTTATATTTCCCTTTGTTGAACTTGTTGAGAACTATTTCAAGCCCATTACTCTGGTCTGTCTGGATCCCTCTGAACAAGCCAGTTATCTCATCATATAACCAGTGGTCTTTCTGGGATTGTTTAGTCTGGAGAAGAGAAGGCTCAGCTGAAGAGACCTTATAGCTCTCTGCAGCTACCTGAAAAGAGGTTGTGACGAGTTGGGAGTTGGCCTCTTCTCCCACATACCTAGTGATAGGACTAGGGAATGGTCTCAAGTTGCACCAAGGGAGGTTCAGGTTGGATATTAGGAAAAATTTATGTACAGGAGTGGTCAGGTGCTGGAACAAGCTGCCCAGGGTTAAGTCACATCCCTGGAAGGCGTTCAAGAAAAATTTAGATGTTGTACTAATGGACATGGTTCAGTGGGAAAATATTGATGGTAGGTGGACAGTTGGACTAAATGATGCTGGAGGTCTTTTCTAACCTTGGTGTTTTATAATTCTGTGGTTCTGCTCTTGACAGATTTCCCCTGCTGCATACATAGGGGACCTTCATAAACCTGTTTGATTAAAACTTATCTGGTTACCTAACATTGGGTTTGTTTCTAAGTGCTGTAAAATGAACTGCTTCACCTGCCTTTGAAATGAGGTACAAGTGATACGAAACATATTTTATTTAACAGGATATACCAGATGGTCTATGCAAAACTGTGTACAAAAGGAAGATTTTTGTCCAGATCTGAGGTAGGGTTGTTTTGTTTTGAAAAAAAAAGAAGAAAGAAATTAGGGGGAAATGGGGATTGCATTACTGCTTATGTTGCTGAAATTGCACTGAGGGCTGCTATTACAGGTCAGCAACAAGAAGTAGCAAGTATGATCAGTGAACATTTGATATGCAAAGTTTTTAACACTGTTAAATAACTTTGAATTGCATTGAAATATAGGCCATGTATATTTAGATACTCAGATAAGATTTATTTCTAGATAAATTTAAGTTAGCTGAGTTGAAAATGAGATCGGATACCAACACAAAATCCCTTTCATGATTTTCAAACATTAAAAGTAATTTCAGTGAACATGACTAAATACTTAGTTAGGCAGAACTGCTCAGAACACATTGTTTTTACCTCGATGGTCTCTTAAGCAAAAACTGACTTTCTTAGACCTACTCAATTTAAATGTTCTGTTGACACTTCCATCCTAAAAGGAGGTTACTGCAAACATGCAGATTTTATTAAGTATCTGCATTTAAAAGAGGTGCTGAGAGTTCATTCAATAAAAAACAGATAAGAAAAGGGATTTAAGTGAGAAAGTTGCAACTACTGAGACTTAGCAGAGAAACATCAGGAAATAAATATTTGTTATAATTGCCCAAAACAACAACAACAACAAAACAACCAAATAACCAACCATAAAATTAACTCTTCAATTGTTGACCTAGAAAATAGTGAGGAGAAATAATATGCCAGTGAAAAGGATTAAAGAAGTCAAGAAGGATGGCTTAGTGGGTTTAACTGGGTGGATTTAAAAATTGTTTAAAGAATGATGCAGTGATAATGGTAAAAAGAGATTCAAACTGGCTTTACTAGGAAGTAGATCTACAGATATTTCTGTGAAACTTCATATGTATTATCTCAATAAAAGAAAGGCTGAGAACAAAATAACATAGAATGAGCTAACTGTGAATAATCTGGAAATAGCATATGCACACACAAATGCACATCCTCGTTCTTTGTGTGTTTAAGGAGAGATATAAAAAGAAAAGCAAGTACAATACTAACAAGGCTTTAGTTACTTCTGAGGTACTGAACTTGGCTGGAGAAGAAGGATGACTAGATATCTAATAATTGGAGATAAAGTGGAAGCCAGCAGAGATGAAGGCATATGTTATGTAAACCTGATAGGGTTACACGTGGAGATCTTTTTACTATCACGTTCCTGTCAGGACTGTAAGAAGAGGATTTTTTTTCTAGAAGAAAGGGACGAAACAAGTTTATGGCAATACTGAAAAACATGAATTAAATTTAAAATGACAGCAGGGTTCTTTTCTAACAAACATGAGAAAGTAAATGCAGAAGCAATTAGCAAAAGAAAGTTTAAGTCGTAAGATATATCTGTATATAGTAATTTTAAATATACAGCTTGCTAACTTAAACTTTATGCATAAAATGAGCTTATTTGGAAATACATGCTTTCTGATATATCTTAAGTTTGTTCTAAGGGAGCCAAGGAAGAACCTTGATGAGATTAAACTATTTTTTTTTTTTAGATTTTTCTATTATTCACAGATAATAAGCACTGTCACATAGCAGATTTTAGATAAATTCAAAATACATTCAGAGCGAGATAAAGAAGAGTCACAGAATTGTAGAGGTTGGAAGGGACCTCTGGAGATCACCTAGCCCAATCCCCTGCTAAAATAGGTTCCCTATAGTAGGTTACACAGGAAGGTGTCCAGGTGGGTTTTGAATGAGAACGAGACTCCACAGCCTCTCTGGGCAGCCTGCTCTGGTGCTCTGTCTCCCTCACAGTGGAGTTTTTAGCTCACATTTGCATGGAAATTCTTGTGTTCCTGTTTGTGCCTGTTGTTCAGTTGCTGGGCACCACCAAAAACAAAGGCTGTTCTTGTCACAAACAACATGCTTAGGGTAACAGGGCTGTCTTTGTCGCTGTTACATGTCTGGAGGTCTTCTGATACAGGCCATGATCACGTTACCCACGCCAGTATGAGGGGCCCATGAGGAAGATGCCTGGTGCAGCTGGAAAATGGGGTCCCATCAATGAGGTCTGGCTTGGGAGGCAGCTTTTGGGTACACTGCCAGTGACCCCCTCGTGCCACCCAACCACATGTGCGCATGTATGTATGGCAAAGCTATCCAGGCCATGGGGTCCTGAAGAACAGGGTATCACTGCCATATGTGCATATGTATATGTGTAGCAAAGACCCAATATGGAAGAATATGAAACCAGTTATTTCTCAGTTTCTCAGAGAAAAAGATGTGAGGAGACGTAATAGTGCTTCTGTCCTAACTGGAAGCTGTTGAAGTTGAGTGACTTGCCTAGAGAAGCTGTAGGTGCCCCATCCCTGGAGGTGCTCAAGGCCAGGCTGAGCTGTGGGGTGGCAGCCCTGCCCACAGCAGCGGTTGGGGCTGGTTGGGCTTTAAGTCCCCACCCAAACCAGCCATTCTGAAACTGGTGCATGAGCTGGGGTTTCGCAGATGCAGCTGTGCCATGATTTGGTCACCTTGGCATGACCAATGCTTCTAGCCGCTATAGGTTACTGTGTCAAAAAGGTTTCACAACGCTCGTTTCAATCAATATGAATCTGAGCTTAGAAGGCAGCGTAATGACGCACATCCAACACTTTCACTTTACCCGAATGAGTAATTTCTGTCAACACTAAGTTTATTTCGTTGCTACCTGTTACTAGGTCCTCAATGGAGGCCAGGACAGACCTAAAGAAGCGCCTGCCACCTGAAACCCACACCCCCGCGGGCCCCTTCCTGCAGCAGGACCCCTATCCCTGCCCCTCTAACCAACACCGCGCCGCCGGAGCGACGACCCCGCTCGTCTCAACCCACCGCGGCGTGCTGCGCATGCGCACGCGCAAGCGTCACGGCGTCTCGGCATCTGCGGCGTCTCCCCTCCACCCCTGCAGGTGCTCTGAGGGGGCGAGTGAGGCGTTCCGGCTGTGACGGGGCCGCCATTCCCTGCGTGCGGTGAGTGAGGGGCCCGTCCGTCACCGGCGCGCTGCCCGCGGTTCGGCGGCCATGATGTGTGCGGTTGCTATGGGAACAGCCGGCGAGCGGGATGGGAGCCGGCGGGGCAGCGCCTGTTGCCGGCGACAGCCGCCCCCCGGTAACTACCCCAGAGTGCTGATTTGGCAGGCGGATTCCGGGTTCAGTCGTCACCCGTGAAGACACTGATGGCTGACTGAGTGCTGCCTGTAAGCGGTGGGGCAGAGCCCACTGCGATACCTCGTTTTCATCCAGCGTGGTTGTTTGCTAGGCTTTGGAAGCATTTTTGGTCTTCCAGATCAGGTTGGTGGCTACTGAAGGTTATTTCTTTGCTGTGATGATTTGGTGCTTTTTTAAGCCTGAAGCTGGTACTGCTCTGAGAAGCAGTGCTGTGCTTAGCGAGCGCTGAGAGCTCGGTGTGTATTTTAGTGATTAAATGATCCCGTTTCCGAGGTCTGAGCTACACGTAGCACCGCGCTGACTCTGCTGTCCTGACGCACTCAGCCAGGCTTTGCTGACTGACCCAGAGCGAGTGCTGTGAGGTGCAACTGTCTCGCTGCAAGTGATAGCTGGGTCTGATCTGGGGTTCTCTGAACCTGTGCTGTTGTCTGCTGCTTTCAAATCTTTCTGTACAGTAAAGACAAGACCTCTGGAGGAAGCAAGTGAGAGGAAAAGGCAGGAGACCGAGTACAGCTTTTCAGAGGCTGACGAGAGACAGAGAGGAGCATCACCTGTGCAAGTTAAAGGCTACCTGGAAGATGGTGACAACAGCAGGGACAAGATCTGCATATGCCAGTTATGTTGACCTTGAGTCTGCAACATTGTCTTTATGTGTCCCAGCTGGGCTAGCAAGCAAAATGGGAATGTTGCTGGATTTTCAGAAAGAGGCACAGATAATTAGAATTATTTCTGATTTTTAACTAAGGTATTGTATTTTAAAGAAAGGCATAAGTAGAACTTTTGAAAAGTATATATGTAGAAAATCTTACCAATAAATAAATTAAAAAAAAACAAATAGAAATAGTCTCATTAACAAACAAACAAGGGTAAAACTAGATGGCAGTCTAGACAGCTGGTGCAGTCATCCTTCCTTCATCCTGTGTTACTGCTCTCTACTCCTTGCTTCCCACATTACTCAGAAGGAAACTGGCATGATATAACTAGCTTAGGGTACTTGCTCAGGGCTTCTGGGGTTTGGGATGGGAGAGAGCAGGTGAAACTTCATCCCAGAGCGCTGCTGCAGCAGAGCAGCTGCTTGATACTTAAAAGTTTCAGCCTTAGGCATGATAAAATAGGGAATATAAATCTTTCTGTCAGCCTTTTGAAAAGGAGACAGTGGTTGTACTGTCTGTGATGGCACACCATGTTGGCACAGCAGCCAAATTCAGATAAAGAATTTCCATGGTTCTTAATTGCTTGCAAGAAATAATAACCTTTCTTATCTTATCATGCGTATATACATCTAGTTTATGACATTGCTTACTTGTTTCCCTGTGCTTTATTACATTTTCTGGCTAATAATTATGGGATACCAATTAGTAATACACTTGTATCCTATCAGTACTACAGTTCCGAATGTGCATAATAGTACTATATGCCAAAATTAGGAAGAATTAAGCTGTCATGGGATTGGTGCTAAACTTAAGTTGTGCTCATGGCTTCACATTCCCCATGAAAGCTCCCAAGACCACTGCTGTCCTTCTTGCTGGGTGCCTGAAAGCAGAGACCTGCCAGCTGCCACTCCTACAGTAGCAGCAAGGAAATGTTATGCACCAGAGCAGCAGTGTGAGTTCAGTCAAGCATTCAAACTAAATCATAGTTACCCTTTGAAATGTTAATTATTAAAACTTAACTCTTAATGAGTCAGAAGCATGATCCAAACACTGGCCAAATAGTAGAACTTAGTAATTAAATTAAACTTATGGTTGAAAAGTTCTATTACCAGTTAAAATGAAACAGATAAGAAGTGAAGACAAATAAAAAGTTGTTGTACTGGAAGTCTTAACTGCAGCTTGCAAATGAATATGCTTCTAGGATAGATGATTTGCAGTTGGTAATAGCATTAAGAACTGAAGGTAGTTGTATCAGAGATGGTACTGATCCACAGAAATGCATCGTATCTCTCAGGTGGCTTCTTAACACAACTATGGAGAACATGGCTGTAAATGCAGTATAATACACATTTTAGTGGACACGATGGTGGTGATTGACGGTTGAGCTAGATGATGTTAGATCTTTTCCAGGCATTATGGTTTGATGGCATTCCAATGTCAAAACTCCGAGGCTTCAAGAGCTAGAGAATATAGCGCTCTTGAGAGATTGAATGTAAGATATTAAATCTTAAAAATTCAGCAGGACATCTGGAAATGCATAGACCAGAAAAAGAAAAAATGTGAATTACTTCACATTTCTGATGTTGAATACAGTTTACTATTGTTTCTGTTCAACATGGTTCTCATTGCCTAATGTCCTACACATAAGGCCTGGAACTTGTAGGTCAAAACCTTGACTTGTAAGTAGCTGGGAGAATAGGGAATGGTGGTCTACCTTCCCTGTTCAGTGAGAAATAGCTGTATAATTGTTCCAAAGACAATTCCACAGTGGAATTCCTTACTTAATGCTCTTGAATCATGATAGAAGGAAGAATATGGATTGTAGCTAAATTCAGCTACAGTGAGGAAAAGTGATGTATTAATTGTAATAGGAAAGATTAAAAACATTGACAGGCTCGGGCTCCTGATCTGTTCCTGTTTTGCTGTTCTGCATGCTGAAATGAAAGACGTTGGTGCACTACTTCTTAATGTCCAATTTGACCTTGTGTAGTTAACCTGAGGGGGTTGTATTGTGTATTAATTAAAGAGACTGCCAGCATGTGCACACCCTGAAACAAAAGAAAAGGCAGCTGGAAACTTAAAATTGTGGATAGGAAGAAATGAACTAAGAGACTAGAGAAATAGGGTTTTTTCTCCATGGTTCCTTCCAGTACTTGAGTGAAGCTTATAAGCTGGAGCAGGACTGATGTTTTTAGGCAGGTAGATAGTGGTAGGACAAGGGGGGATGGTTTTAAACTAAGAGAGGAGAGAGTTAGGTTAGAGGCTGCCCATAGAAGCTGTGGGTGCCCCATCCCTAGAGGTGCTCAAGGCCAGATTGGATGGGACCTAGGCAGCTGAGCTGGGGAGTGGCAGCCCTGATCATTGCAGGGAGTTGGAACTGGGTAGGTTTTAAGGACCCTTTCCACTGCAGCCATTTTATGATAGTTCAGAAATAAACAGGAAAGCAGTATCTGATCTACTGTTGGCTCTTAGTCTTAAACAAAGCGAGAGGATAGGAGATAGGGTCTGAGTCAAAGATGGTGCAGAAACATGTTTATGTTTAGGTAAGTTTGAAACACAAAATGAATTTGAATGAGTTTGGTCTGGTATTAAATGGGGAGGTTGGTGGCCCTGCATGTGGCAGGGGGGTTGGCGATTCATGATCCTTGAAATCCCTTCCAACCCTGGCCATTCTGTGATTCTGTGAATTTTTGATAGCTTAAAGTTCATGATAGGTTTGCTGCAAAATGACAAGAATGATATCTACAGAGACCTGCACCAGGATAGTCAGTGATTTTGGGGGAGTTTGGGTCTTTGCTTATCAATTACTGATAATCACACCTCAGACTTATTACAAAGCTTTCCTTGGTAAAATCAGTAACTTGCATTGTTTTGTTTTTTTTCCAAAGTTCATTGGAAATAAAATTTCTCTATTATTGAATTCCTTTTTGGACTACTATATTTTATAAGTATTCAGGTGTTAAGAAATGGATTTTCTTTTGTTTTTGGGAATTCAGCGTTTCGCTGAGAAAACACTGTGGTACTAACATGGCAATTTTTAATTCCCATTGGAAAAATAAAGGTTCTCCACGTCAGATGCTTTCTGCTCTGCTTCTGCATTTTCCTACAAAACTGAGAATTAAGGAGGGAAATATGCTATCAATAACTGTTTATTTTCCACCACTTTGTTATTGTCTGATATATATATATATTTTTTTTTTTGTAATACCTTAAGGTAGAAGAAATATTAATATATTAATATTTTGTAACTTAAAAGTTGCATTGCATTCTCTGCCTTTACATGTTCTGTTTTCTTCCTGTACGTTACTTTACAGAGTAAGGCAAGCTTCAAAGAATGAAAACATGGAAAAGCCAGAGCCGTTCTACAAACTTCCAGTGTCAAAGCAGAAGACCAGTTCTGAGATTATAAATGAAGCCAGAAGTGTTCTACGAACACTAAGAACTCAGAGGCCGTTTACACCTGCAGAGGATCAAAGGAAACTTTTTGGATCTGAATCTTCACGGGCTCCTCAAAATAGACCTCCTTCGGTTTTTAGGTACAGTGACTTTCAGATTTTTCAAACATCCTTTAGCAGCATGATTTGAATCTGTAATTATGTTTCTGGTGATTTTTCTCCTCTGTTAATCTGTATTCCTAATCTCATCCTTTGCCTTTTTCTAATGATGCTTACTGATGGCGTTAATCTGCATGTCTCAGAAGTTCCTGTGGATTAGAGCTACCAGAAGCAGTCGTTACACTAGTTTTGTATGCAGAGAATAGTGTAAAAAATATGGTCTGTAACACACCTTTCTTTTTAAGACAATATTTTAAAAATTGAATAATTTGTATATTTTTCTCTAGAAACTGAGGAAGCATGTTTATTTCATCATAAACTGTTTGTGTTTCAGCACTTCTGTAGATCTCTCAAATACAAAATTATAGCTCTTGAAATTAAAAAATGCTTACCTTTAAACAGACTTTTAGTACTAAAGTATTTCTTTCATATCTATGTATGACTTTACTACCTAACATGATTCACAGAATGCAATAGGTCTCTGTCTTTTTACAAAAGAAAAAAACTCTTGTACATTGGGCTTTGGATATGATCTTTGATATTTTCTCTCACTCTCTCTCTCTCTCTCTTTTTTTTTTCTTTAAATCTGTCTCCCCATTCATTTTTTAACTCTCCTTGTATGACAATTATTTAATGGCTGTATGGAGGATATGTCAGCTCTATTTGTAGTGTTACGTGTGAGATGCCAGATGTATGCCAGAAATGATGCTAACCCATGTCTGAATTGTGATACAAGTCAGTCAGTGGCCATACTGTGTTCAGGCACTCTACAACTCTTATGTTTCATGTTACATAGTGTGCCCTTACATAAGACAAGAACCTGAGAATGACTTGGCTGTTTATTGACGATCAGGTAATAAGATAGCTCAGGCTGGCATCCATGATTGTTCTATGTATGTGCTACAGCAAGGAGTGTGCTCATGCCTGTACATACCTGAGTTTTCTGCCCTGCAATGTTCTGCAGCTTATGTCAGATAGCTTGGGTGCTAACCACAGTTGTGTTTTTGCATGAAGTTAGGCTTATATTAGAGAACTGTTACAGATGTGTATGAAATAAACTGTATTGTGGTATCTGCTTTATTAATTTATAATTAATTTCTTTATCCTAGTCTTCATGCTTCCAGTTTTGATTTGGCTGAATCAAGACCTGCTTCTGGTGTTCGTCTTAGCCCATTGGATCATGTGAGTGCTCTGGATGTAATTCTATGCAATGCTGACATAAAAATATGTAAGAATTTATGCAGTGCGATGTAATTCTGGAATTTGATATTGTTGAAATAGGTTGGAGAGAAAAAGAAGTCTGTCATAATATTAGTCTCAGACTTATAAAGTCAGCTTTATCATTTTTTAAAAATGAAGCTGGAAATAATGGCAACTATACCAATTGCATCAAAATTATAAGTGACATTAACAAGAATTAGAAATTGAAAACTTTAGTCAGCTTTCTCATTTAAGATTACTAAAATACAGAAGGTCACAAGCATCAATATGAGTCAACAATGTGACCTTGCTGAGTGGCATTCTGGTCTGCTTTAAGAAGGATGTTGTGGCAGAATGAGGAAGGTGGTCCTTCCCCTCTGTTCAGCACTAGCAAGACTGCACCTGGAGTGCTGGCTCCAGTTCTAGGATCCTTAGTAAAACAGTAGTACAGAGCATCTGAAAAGTTGGTCCAGTTAAACCTACAGATATAATGAAGGGACTGAAGCACTTCTCCTATAAGAAAAGGCTGAGAGTGATGTAACAGTTCACTGTAGAGAAGGCTCAGCGGGCTTCCATCAATGTATATAAATACCTGAAGGGTAGGGTGCAAAGTGGACAGAACCAGGCTTTTCTCAGCCATACTCAGTACCAGTGGTGTCAGGACAAGAGGCATCAGGCACATACTGAAACACAGAAGGATTCCTCTGAACATCAGAAAGCACTTCTGTGCTGGGCAGGTGACAGAGCACTGGCAGAGATTGCCCGGAGAAGTAGTGGAGTCTCCTGCTTGGTAAGATTCAAAAGAAATATAATACTGTCACAATTGTTTGTTTCATGTCCAGAAGAAGAAAGTGTGCTAAAACAATGAAGTATGCTTGCTGTATATATCGTTTCTTAGGTGGTATATTAAATGTGGTGTTTCATGGGAAAGTAGGAAAAAAATCCTCAACAATTTCCAAGAAATGTCGTATCTTAGTAATTTTGATAAAGTAATAGAGTGTTTACATCAATAAGATTAAAAATACCATACCTACTTGTAGAAGAAGTGTATATAAATTCAGATTTAAACACTGGTATTAAATTTTTGTTTAGTTTGTGTGTGAGTGGGTGGAAAAAAAGGAAGGCTTTTCGCATTGATTATATCAGTAGTTAAGCTATCTTTTTCACACACTGTAAATGTAGAGCTTGTTGTAGTTGTGGTCGCTGTGGGGGTGGTAGGGTCTCACCTCTTGGGCTCTCTTCACTTAAGCTCCCGAGGGTTAAACTGAAAACTTTCAAATGGATTCTTTATTGAAGAAAAGGAAAAAAAAAAAAAAAAAAGGTAGAGAACCCAGCTATTGAATGGTAATATATTTATGTAAAGCATGAAAAAGATTTTAGATGTTTAGAGCGTTGATCGTATACTCTAAGATGCAAGATACTGACATGAATAAAATAAGAACTTGCATGTTTCTGGATCTGCATGACTTGTCACAGTGTGATAGGAAGTGGTGTATGTGATAGGAACATGTTTGAAGTGTTTTGGAAATGCTACTTTAGCTCTCAAAAAGAAATCATAAAGAAGGGATTTGTCTCTAGAGTCGCACACTGCAGATAATGTTAAATGAGTATTTCTGAGGGAAAGCATTTCAAATTTCAGTTACTCTACTGAACAGCTTAGGTTAGTTAGTTAGTTTCTGTCTGTTTTTTGCATCCCCAGGTGTTTGCTTTTAAATAGCTTTCTGGGGCAATATTAGTAGAAGTGCTCTGGATTTTTCGGCAAAATGTTATCTTTAGATTTTGGATGTGTTTTCTTCATAAGTAAACCCATGTAACTTACTATTCTATTCTGAATATACCTCTCTTCATATTTTTTTTTTTAATGTTTTGCTTAAACAAAAAAAAATGAAATGGTGCTTTTATCAAAATTTCTTTTATCTTTATGACAGAAGCCAGTACTAGTCATTTCATCGAAGGATGAAGATTCTTCTGTTTCCCTTCCAAAGCCTGCAGTGGATGCTGCAGAGGTTAGGAAAATCAGCAATGCTAGGGCACAGTTATTTAGAAGAACTTCTCAGGGAGATGCCTTTCCTGCTAAAATGGCTCCACTGGATCACCGTAAGAATCTTACTTCCTACAAATATAACTGTATGATGTGTTTTGATATCATATTAATTATCATTTTAAAGAACCGTCAAGTCCTTTCAGAGCAAATTTTAAAAATACTGAATGGCTTAAAGCCAGTCCTGAATATATGATTTCCAAAAATGGTACCGGATTTCATTTCTAAAAACAAGTTGGAAGACTCTCAGATGCCTTTTTTTTCCTATTGGTTTTTAAGTAATTGAGGCTTTTTCCTGAAAGGTTTCTTCAGTGGGTTAAATGATGAGTAAATGCTGAAATAGTTAAAGAGATAATGAGATGGCGTCTTCTAAGGAGATTCTTTGGTGGATTCTTGAGCGTAAAAGGAAGAGTAAATAGGAGTAATAAGTCTTGACAGGTCTCCAGCTACATCATATTTAGTGTTAAGTTTCATTAGTGGAGACTTAATAAAGGTCACTAAACATGTTGCTTAAGTCATTTTCTGTCTGCAGGAAAATTACTTTTGTGATCTTGATTTCCTGCACACTAACTCATTATGGAATGTGCTAGAACGCTGTCTTTAATGAAGACTCATTTACAAAAATGGCAATTCTTCCGTTGCCTGGGATTGTTACTTTATATGATAAATTGAAGATCACTTTTAAAATCTTATTGCAAAATAAGTCTTATGCCAAAAGTACTAAATTTTACTGTGTTACTGTGTACCTCTTTTACAAGAATCCATTAGCCCTGATATATTGATGCTACTAATTGAAGAAGTTGAGAACCTAATGTAGCTCTACCTCTTATTGTCTGTTCTGGTCATTCTGGTGTCTTGTAAATGTTTATGTAGCATTTGATTTCTTCAGTTTCTTTTCATAATGGGTAGATACTGAGGTACAAGATTGCCAGTTACCTTTTGCTTGCCTTCATAATATTTAGAAACTGAAAAATAATCACTTCTTTTACGAGGTACAATCCTCCTGTCTGTAAAGGGGAAATAAAAAAAAGTTGAAAGATTGAAAACATGAAGTAAAAATAAAGTTACACCTTAAAGGAGTGATGTTCATAAAAATACTTTGAATGCTTTGCTGAAAATAGTCTCAAGTGCTCTCACTTTTCAAACTGATGCGAGAAAATTTTGATACTGTAACATGAGAAACAAGTAGTTCATTTTGAGCTCCCTCCTGTGTATTTATTGTGTAAGAACACTCCTACAAAATATATTTTCTTTGTCTTTTTCAGATGAAGAGAAGCTTGATTGTGAAGAACCAGCTATGATGAGTAGTCTTCATGGAACTAATGATAACTGCTTAGCAGAGCAAAGGGCATACATACCATTTAATGACAAAAGCGGACAATTAATTTGTAATGAGCATAGTGGTAAACCGGAAAGGGAAGATGTTCTAAAAGGCACAGCAGGAAAACTTTTATTTCAGCTAAAAGGTGAAAGGTCAGTATTGTTTGAGTATGGTAATGTGCTATTTCCACACAACCTTTCTTTCTAGTCACTCTATTGTGTGAGTATCAAAATGTTTCGAATTGATGGAATGTTAAGGTAGCACTAAAACATTAAAAGAAAACTTTGTTCACATTACTAGACAAGATATTCTTAAGTTTCTATAGTCAAAAGACTGATTTGTCCAAAAATTGTAGATAGGGACAAAATGTACAAGTATGTACGAAAACTATTTTTTTTTCATCATCATCATCTCAAAACTAACTCTTCTAGTAATTGTATTTAAAATATTCGAGTTTAAATTCAATTATTTTTTTCCTAGTTCGAGCCTGTTGTTTTAAGATACTGCATGTTCTTGCCTCATCTCTGTTGATGAGTAGAGGTAAGATTTCAGTTCTGGCTTTGAGGATATATGTTCATACATTAAAATAAGCTTAAACTCATTGGAAATGCAGGCAGATTTTTATATTTTGTGGGCTTTGAATTTTTTTTAATTCTTTTTTTTTCCGTGATCAGGCAGCTGTAACAGATTCATTAATCTTTTATGTGTACTTAGTCTGATTTTATTGAACCTAGATTATATCCATTCTGTAATTCAGAAGTCATTTTTTTTCTTTCTTTAATTCAGATCTGAACTCTTGCATGGGGAGGAACGTTGCACTTTGTGATCAGTAGATGTATTGATTGCTGCAATAGTAGCTGGGCACACAGCTGTGAATAGTATTGACAGATCTAACAATCTCTAAAGTAAAGAATAAATAACACTTAAACTTCATAACACATGCCATAACACATCCCATAATCAATTGGTCACTGTTTAAAATAAATATTTGCCAGTAAATATCTTCTTTCTAGCTCATCATTAGGCTTAAGAAGAAATTATTTTTCTGGATATTCTAATGCTTCTTATATATTAAGGAGAATTTTCTTAAAGTTATAAAATAAAAAGCCTTTCATTAATTTACTTGGTGATGATATCAAATACTTCAGAACGTGTTGTCTGCTGAAGATGTTTTAGGAACTGATATGTAGCAGAACTATCATAATGTTCTTCTTTTATATTAAATTGAAAGCAAAATAATAAAAAAGAAGAGATTCTAGAAGACTTGAGACAAGAAGGAGCAAACAAAAAGTTTCATGATTATAAGGGGAGGGAGAAGGATCAGAGCTCAAAGATGGAAAAACCGTGAGTGAATATATGTAAAACTCAAAGAAAGCTTTGGTGTGAAATCATTTTCTCTCATTAAGATCAGTGACCCCAAGGACTTTATAGCTAAAGACTATGAATTATCACACTACATGAGTTACTGTAATTTGACTTTTACTTAGTAAAGCTGTGGCATGAAGTAATTTGGTACAGCAGTTGAAACAGATAGTTACTTAATGGTATCCAAGCATCTCTAGTAAGAAAAGGTCATTTGCTACTTTTACTAACTGGAGAGAATGACCTTTCTTCTGAGTCTTAATTTTAAATCTTGAAGGTCTGCTTAAATAGGTAACTTAGAGTTCATTGTGCATTCCTGCTATCTGTTCATAAGGTATGTGCTTGTCCTTTATAAGCTTGAGAGCTCCACAAGTTTTTGGTTTGGATTTTTTGCTACTTATGCTTGTCACAGTTACCCATTTTGTATGGCATTGTGTGCCATAATCACTGTTTTCCAGTAGTTTGAAGCACAAAAAGTTGTGATTTATACTTTGAAAATAGTTTCAGAGAATTATTGACTTCTGTTTAGAAATATTTTTGTGAGTTGGCAAACAAGACTTGTTGCTGACAAGTTTGCTCATTGCAACATACAGTCTTACAGACACTTTCAGTTCAGATTCTCAGTGTAAGAGAATTTTGAGAACACAGGAAAAAATAGAAAGAGGAAAATGCTGTTTTCAGTTCTTCAAATATCCTTATGCACATTTGAAGGATAGGTTATCAATGTTCATTTTTCATAAATTCCACTTGCTTAATTTCTTTATGACTTATTATGTAATTTTCTGACTCTCATAATTATAGTTAGGATGCTAATGATTCTAACCATAACAAGTGGACTTCTAGTGCTTCTAGCTTGTCATGTATTGTGTTCAAACTAGGGAGAATAATACTAAAGGTAGTTGAATCTAATTGAATTATTTCAATTAGATAGATATCAAAAACAAAAAATGTTTTCTAATCTTGTCCTAAGATTTTTCCAAATCTGTTTTCTTCAAAACAGAAGAATATCATAACATCCTTCTGTCTTTTCTGTGTTGAACACAGCGTCTGTGTTTTGGGTGTGCATACTGTTTGTACTTGAGAAGATAATTTTTGCCAATGCAGCCTAAGAGATCTGCCTGTGCAGCTTATACCCCTGTGCTGGAGGTCACTAACAGTATTGAGGAACTCATGGTTTTGAATACCAGACATACCTGCAGTACTATAGTGTGCGTGAAAATAATACCAGGTGCTTTTCCTTTAGTAAAGTACAGATGTCCCTCAGGCTGTTTTCCCAACTGTCTCAGCCCAAGCAGTTCATGCCGTTGTATGATGGGTTGTCTCTAGGTAATCTCAGCTGCTCTCATACATTTGAAGTCATTACTAAGACTTATGCCAATTAATGCATTAGTTCAGTACTCACATGATACTACACGAGCCAGGCAGGCTTTCATCTATATCCTTTTCTCAGTTCAGAGATATCATTCATCATCTGACAAAGAATTTGAAAGGTATTGCAAATCTATCCTTCACTATATTTCCTTCAGTTTCTTCTGGATAGGAGTTGTATAGACAAGGTTCCATTCCCATAGAGGGATCATTGCAATAGGGCTTTGGTGTTCTTTCTCAATAGAACATTATATCTACGAGGTGATGGCTGTGATTAAATTACAGCTACTTTTGTGTCATACATACATAAAGCATCTTGTACAAAGTTAAATGATATATTGCACATTATATTCAGGAGCAGACTGAACTTACAGAAATGTGAAAACTTTATTAGTCCTGTCATCCTTCGTTTTAAGCAGTTGTGTAAGCCTCAGTTCTATATTCTAGTGATTTACAAACCCTTGCAGGAATTAAGCATGAGGAAATACAGGAAAAGGTGTCTGAGATTCCTCATTAGGCTTTGCCTGGTTCTCCTATATATATTCCAAAATATTTTTTCTAATAGTTGTTTTTCTGATAATAACGAAACTGTAAAGCATGCAAAAATAGTATGGCAGGTCCCTTGTATTAGTTCTATTACATTTATGTCAAAGGGAACAAGCAGGAAGTGCTTTGTTCAAGCAAGAGGATTGTTCACTTTCCATCTCAAATTCTTTTGTCCCAAGAGCTGGTGGAAAGAAGCAGCACCACTGATAAAGTCACTGCTGCTTTATAAAGGGGCTTTAAACAAACAACAGTGACAAATGAGAAACCTCAAGACTTCTTAGGGAAGAGTTATTTGCCATTTGGTTTACAATAATGTTTTTTTGAATAACCATCTAGTTATAATAGAAAAGGTATGTTAATTTAAGCAGATATGAACATTTTCATGTGTTGCCTCTGGAAAGTAAGGAGGAACTTCTGACAATCATAGGGAAGCTGAGTTTTGTTTATATCTTTATCCAGGCATTGTGTCTTGCCATCTATTGTGATTGCTACAGAAATGAAACTTACAAAATGCTTTCTGCATTCATATATTTCAACAAAAGTGTCACTGGGAATGGCAGATTTGCTGATGAAGAGCAACTGTTTCCCTACTGAGAAAAGATGATTTTTTTTTTACTCCTCCTCCAATTTTTCAATATTCTGAAAGCTTAGATGATATTTCAGGGCTCCTTAGAAACACTGATGCCTTCAGCAAGGAAGAGCTTGGTGGCAAACAGTTTACTTCCAAGTGGCCTGATTTGTGCTTCTATTAATTAAAGATTTCTATAAACATCTACAAAGCAACTAGATGGTGCTTACTGAACAACTTCTGCATGATTAGTTTCTCTTTTCTGTGCTTTTTAGAATTCTTGTAAGCTTTATAAGGAAAAAAAAAAAAAACCTAAAAAAAAGCTTGTAGACAAATGAATATTAGAAATAATTTCTACCTGATACCTTGATCTGGCTTCAAAATATTCTTTCATTTTCTCCTCGGAGGAATTCTACAGAGGAGATAGAATGGATGCTTCTTTCAGGAAAGAAATCTGTTTTGCTCTGTTTGAATTTTTGGAATTAATAGCATTGTATGAATATCAGCTTGTTGTATAGTTTAGCTGATATTGCTGCAGATTATCCAGACTTCCTTCAGGATTTGTCTTTTCTCATTATGTCTGCCCTCATCCTTTTGTGTTCTTATGAAGACATGGAAACAGGAAGCTACTCTACTCCTCAATAATATTATTCTATTTGTGCTTCAGTTCCACTGGCTGTTAAGAGCATTTAAAAAGGAAATAATAAAGTGGTGCAAAAACTTTCACAGGAATTTCTCAAGTGTTTGACAAAGAAAGTGAAATGCTTCCTCCTCCAAGAAGGTGTCTGTTTTTATATAGCGTTAGAAGATGTTGAGAGAAAATTGGAAATGAAAAGCTTTTTTTTTTATTTTGAGAATAGAAATTATGTAGACTGCTGAAGAAAAGAGCATCAAGCAGCAGTTATCTGTGATATTGACTCATGAAGGAGTCTAGGTTTGTTTTTACTGCCTAGTACAGAAGGAGTCTTTCCACTCTAGTCCTTAAAGTCAGGGTAAGTTATTAGTCTCCACATTTGGGAAACCTAGGTCTTGAGAATCCTTATTACTAATTGAAATTGAGTTGCCAGAGTGGAAGGGTGTGCCATGGAAGGAGTCAAGAAGAAAGGGCAATTCACAGTCTAGGTAAGGCGTTAATAATACTGAATTTAAAATAAGAATGCTTATGCAAGATTCAGGTAAGATAGATGAAGATGCCATGCTTTCCGGACTGAAATATATTTAGGCTTTTATTTTAGGTGGTTTTTTTTAAAGACTATAATTCATCTATCAGTTGTCTAAAGATACTCTTCCACTAATAAGTACTCTTAA